CACATAAATAATGAAAAAAAACTTTAAGAGAATTAAAATATTATATTAGAAAATAGTTATCCAATGTTAAAGAAAGCTATATTGGGGGAATAGAGAGGGCAAAAATATGAAACAAATCTTCTATAGCAATTGTAATAATAAGTGAATGGATTGGGCTGGGGTTGCAGCTCAGTGGGAGTTCTTGCCTAGCATGTGTGAGGCACCAGGTTCAAGCCTTAGCACTGCAAAAAAAAAAAAAAAAAAAAAAAAAGCTAAACGAATAAAGGCATGCTATCCATCTACAAATATATATATATATATATATTTAATGTTAAAAATTGAGTAGGCTATCACCTCAAAACAAAGAATATATTGTGAGATTGAATGAATAAAAAGATCCAAATATATCCTTATGTTATATACACCTTAGATTCAAATATACATATACATTGAATGTAAAATGATGCAAAAAGATACATTGTGCAAACAGTAACCTGAAGATAGCTGAACACAATACCAGACAAGAAAGACATTAAAGGTTTCTAAAAATAAAAAAGAACATTTTATTATGGCAAAACAATCTGATAAAGCTATCAGGAATATATAACAGTTACAAACATCTATATACTTTAAAAATGTGCCCTAAAATTCATGAAGCAAACATCACATCGAGCGAACTGAAAAAAGAAATTAACAATTCAATAATAAGGATATCAATTTCCAATGTTGATAATAAATTGAACAACTATGCAGATCAACAAAGAAATAGACTTGAATAGCATACTAAACCAACTAGACCTAATAGACACTTATCCAACAAGAGAAGAACATACGTTCTCTGCAAGTATGCACATGAATTCTCCAGGATAGACTATATTCCAGGATAAAAAAAAAGTCTTAAAATACTGAAAGAATCAAAATCATCCAGAATATTTCCTTTGACCACAAAAAATAAAATTCTAAATTAACAACTAAAAGAAACTTAGAAAATTAGTAAATACATGGAAATTAAATAACTCCCCAAAATTATAAATCCATCAAAGAAGAAACCATAAGAGAAATTAGGAAATAATTGTCAAAATCCCTGGATAGGATGTTTGCTCTCACCACATTTATTAAACAATATATTAGAGATTTTAGCAATGAAAATTAGGCAGGAAAAAGATAAAAAAGCACTCAAATTGCAAAGAAAGAACTTAAACTATATATGTTTGCATGTTATAACCTTGTATATAAAAATTCTAAGAAATACACTAAAAACTTATAGATACTATTGATTGAATTTAGTAGATTGTAGGCTATTGAAAGCAATATGTAAACAGTCTAATGTATTGTAAAAGCAATATGTAAACAATCTAATGTATTGCTATCCTCTAACAATAAAAATTCCTAAAAATAAATTTAAAAAACAATCTTATTTATTATAGGATAAAGTGAAATGAAATACTTTGGAATACATTTTTTAAAAAAATAGATATCTTTTAGTATGAAACTTCCATGATACTGGTAAAATATATTAAAATCTAAATAAGTGGAAAAACAGCTATATCCATAGATTGGAAGTTTTAATATTGTAAGATATAGTTCTCCACAAATTCATCTTAGGAGTCAACATATCCTTATCAACATTCCATCTGGATTTTTGTAGAAAGTGAGGAACTGATCCAAAAAATATGAGAATTCAAGGGAACTAGAATAGCCAGAATTTTTTAAACAAATAAGTACAAAGTTGGATGACTCAACCATTCTGATTTTAAAACATCTCACAAGACTGTAACATCTGAGTAAGTATGATGCAAGCATAATGAAATACATATGTATCAGTGCAATAGACTTAACATTTCATGAATAAACTCTCCTATATATGGTCAATTGATTTTCAACAAGCATGCCAATAAAAACAATGGGAAATGAATCACCTTTTAACAAATGGCATTGTGAAAACTGTCTATCAACATGCAAAAGAATGATTTTGTACCCCTTCCTTACAATATGCGCTAAAAAAGTCATTCCAAATGGAAATCAGTTTTAAGAGCTGAAACTTTAAAATTATTAAGGAAAACACAGGGGTAAGTTTTTGTGTCCTCACGTTAAGTATTTTTTTTTTTTTTTAGATCTGACACAAAAGTACAAGAAACAACATAAAGATGAATTAATCTTTGTTAACTTCAAGAATTTTGTACTTTAGTACAAAATAACATCACAAAAAAACTGAAAAAAATAAATAATAGAATGCGGGAAACTATTTGCAAATTTTATATAAGGGACTTATATCTAGAAATATATTGCACAACTCAACAATAAAAAGGTCAACTTAATTTAACATAGGTAAAAATATGAATAGACATTTCTCCAAAGATGATAAATGACAAATAAGTGCATGACAAGATGTTCAATTTCATTAGCAGTCAGTGAAATGTAAATCAAAACCATAATTAGATACTATTTCTTAGTCACTAGGATGACTATAAATAAAAAATAATTCAATAACAAGTGTTGTCAAATATTTAGATGAATTGGAGCCCTCATGTGTTTCTGATATTTATGTAAAATGGTGCAGCACATTTGGGGAAACATTGAACATTTCCTCAAAAGTTAAACAGAGTTGACATATGACCCAGCACACAAAACTTTCACATAATATTCATAGCAGCATTATTCATGATAGCCCAAAAGTGGAAACAACACATATGTCTATAAACTGATGAATGGATAAATAAAATGTGATATCTCCATAAAAAGGAAAATATTGAGCAACTGGAAGAACTGAATTACTAATGCATACTACTACAATATGGATTAATCTTAAAAGCATTATATAACAGATCAGTCATCAAAGAATCTGAAAAAATTCCCATTTAAATTACATATTCAGAAAGACAAATCTATAGAGACAGAGGTAAATTCTTGGTTGCATAGGGCTACCAGTTGGGGAGGATATGGGCAGTGACTGCTTATGGATATTAGGGATATTTTGGAGATCTTAAGGATGTCCCAAAATTGATTATGGTGATGGTTTTATAACTCAATGAATATACTAAAAACCATTGGACTATTCATTTTAAATGGGTGCATTTTTAGATATGAATTATATTTCAATAAATCTAATGATGATAAATCATTCACTCTGCTAGTGATAATAAAATTTTAATCAATTTCTTTATCATATGTAGGCAAGTTGCTTAATGTGGAGACTATGATGTATTATGTTGTAAAATTTAATGGTACCAGATGAGTTGCTTTTCTGATAAACAAGAAACTAAATTGTGTTTTAAAGTATAGTAATGCGTATGTTCATATATTTCCATGCTTGCTTTTATGATTTAATATCATCTAAATTGAATAAAACTCCACCCTCCCAAATATTTATCAGACATAATTGTGCAAGAGTATAGAACATTTTTAAATGTTAATTGCATCAGGACCCTTTTTGTAGTATTCTCTAAAAGGAAAGTAAATGGCTGTCTAATGGAGAAAATTAATCTTAAATGAGATTCAGTTCTTTATGGCCCTGTGTTTTTATTTTATTTTATTTTATTTTATTTATTTTTTGAAAATTCATTCTTTTATTTATGATGTAATTTTTTATTTATTATTATTTCTTACATACATGACAATAGTGGAGTGCATTACATTCATAATTTCTGTGTTTTGATTTTAAGTACAATAAGTGTAATGACACCACCTGGACTTCATATTTTGTTGAGAACTTATGGGAACTTGTACCTTTATCTTTAAATTTTAAAACTCTGCACAAGAATCTGAATTGCTTTTATCACTCAGCACACATGCAAAGACAGAAAAAATTGAAAATATTTTTTTCTGGGATCAGAGTCTGAAAAGAAATTATATTAATCATTTTTGAAGTTATTTCTAATTAACTATTAGTTGAATTTAATTAGATATTATCTGATTTTAATATTTAATATAACTAATTTTAGTCAAATTTAGTTAACTATATTGTTGCAACTAGAAATTAAGAAAATAAGAAGAAATAAATGGATAGTTTCTTTCTCTAATAAACCAAATTCAACCTCCCTACGCTATTCTTCTCCTCATATCATGTACCAAAACAAAAATTGCGCTTTTTAAATGCTTTGTAGAGTTAAAAATGTATAAGATTGAATGTCATATATAACTTTTAATTTATTGGATTGTTATAGTATGTAAATAGTATGTAAATAAACCAATCCCATATTCCATAGTTTTACTATTCTATACAACTGAGCTACATTCCCAGCACCTTCTCTTTTTTATTTTGAGACAGGTTCTTCCTAATTTGCTGAGGCTGGCCTTGAATTTGTGATCCTCCTGCCTCAGCCACCCCAGTCTCTGGGTTTATAGGCAAGTGCCACATGTGCTCAGCTTGTTCTTATTTTGAAAAGTGTATGTTTTCCTTTATCAGAAACTGACAGATTGTGATCCAAATTTCTTATGCCATTCTGCATTTCAACCAGCAATCTTGGAGTATTCCTATTAGCACTCGGTATTATTAGTTTCTTTTTCTAATCACTCTAACAGATTTGTAAGCATATTTCTTTTTAGTTTTAATTTGAATTGCTTTAGCATCCAATACTGTAAGGCCCCTTTTTATATGCTTATCAAACATATTTACATCTTCCATAGTGATGTGTCTATAAATATCTTTTGCCCATTTGTTGAATCCTATGTTTTCTTACTATTGGTGATTTTTTTCTTTTATATGCACAAATTCATTGTCAAAAGATTTGTAAATTATTTCACTTAGTATGTGCCTTATCTTGTCTTTTCATTCTTTACATTGCTTTTACAGAGCAAATATAATTATAAAAATGAAATCCCATCCACCCACTCTCTGATATTTATGTTTCTCTAGGAATTATTTCCTGACAAATTAGGTAACAACTGTGAAAATACTGGAAGTCTCTGATGTATTTATATAAAGATTGCTAAATTTTCATGTAACAATATGATTTAAGTAGATAATAAAAATATGCTTTTTGAATATAAATTTTATTTTTTTGTTTCCCCCACCCCAACAGCTGCAGAAATAACTGTGCAACCAACTGTGGAAGAGGCTTCTGACAACTGCACTCAAGAATGTCTCATCTTGGGCCATTCTGATGCCTGCTGGATGCCAGCTTCTCTGACCCATTCCAGCCCTTCACAGGCACAGACCTCTGCTCTATGCCACAGCCCACCCCTGACACAGGCATCTGCTCACCGCCGCAGCCCTCCAGTGACACAGACCATTGCTCTCTGCCACAGTCCTCCAGTGACCCAAGCTATCGCTTTGTGCCACAGTCCTCCACCAGTACAGGCCTCTGCTCTCCACCACAGTCCTCCTCTAGCACAGGCCGCTGGACTTCACCACAGCCCACCCCCCACACAGGCCTCAGCCCTCCGTTACAGCCCTCCCTTGGCTCAGGCTACTGCAATTCGCCGCAGCCCGCCTCTGCCACAGGCTGCCTCTCTCCACCGCAGCCAAGTCCATCCTCCAATGGGTTTGCAGCAAGGTTGGGTGCAAGGTGCTGGAGCTGATGGACCGCATTCTCTTGATCAGGGAGTGCAAGGTAGTGCTAGATCTCAGTTTTACACTATGTCTGAAAGACTTCATCCCAATGATGATTCAATTAAAGTCATTCCCTTAACAACCTTCACACCAGGCCAACAGGCCAGACCCTCTAGGGGTGATTCCCCCATTATGGAAGAACATCCCTTGTAAAGTTAAAATAGCTATTTCACATTTTCAGACAGATGTATATATTCAAAGTTGAAGATCCAATTTCAAGGAATATTCCAAATTGCTAGGTTTGTAAATAGCTCTGTAAATAGAAACAGATACCAGAAAAAGACTAGAGCTAGACCCTTAGTCAAAAGTTAAAAAATAAATTTAAAATTTTTAATTGAGAATGTGTTTTAAAATGAAACAAAATTTAAAAATTCACATCCCTTTGTACAGCAAGGCTTATCATGACAAAAATTAATATGTAGTGTATACTATTTCTGATGTACTGTTTTTTTTTTTTTCATTTTTTTACCATGTGCAATATTACTGATTTCTTCCTTTCTGAGTTTCATGGACTCAGTAAGTAGCAAATGGAAAACTAGAAAATATCTTATTTTCCAAGTTTATCTTTAGTTTATCTAAACATTGGTTCAGATAACATTAAAAGGTATAAGTACTATAGAATTTTTGTTTGCATTTTAATTTGATTTTTGTTAATTTTTTTGTCTCTAATATTTTGTTATTAGTGTTTCTATCTTCAAAAATCTACACTAGGTAGTGTAAATAGCTCTTACAGTTTTGTCTGTCACTGTTTTTCTTATGTTTTCTACCTTTATTTCAAGAATATATTGATATAATTTGTACATACATTTTCCAAACAGAACTTATAATCTGTACAGATCTATAAACCTATTTCTCTACTCTTTAGTAGAGTTCGAGACATTAAAGTGCAATAATATGCCCATATTAGGCAACTATTTGCCAAAAAGGGCTTATTTTTTTTAAAAAAGAGAAAATGTGTACCTTTGTAGGTAGTGTAATGTACATCAGAAATAATATCATATCTGCCATTTTAAGCCTATATTCCATCATTAATTGGAATTTGTATATAAAAATTATAAGGAAGGTAGATGCATTCAATACATGGTTGATTTACAGCTGTTGTTGTAAACTACTCTTTGGTAGAAACAATCAGAAAGATTTAAATGATGATCTGACAGCTCAATAGGCTGTTCCAAAAGATGTACAGTACAAAAGACAAACAAAGGAAACTGTAGATAAAACCCTCTACTAAACATATAAGACTAAGGGATTTTTGTCATTCTAGCTCAATTTACTGAAGAAAACCACTGATTAACAAGATGAAAGTCAGAAAGGAACTTTTCAATAAACGTAATTATAAATCTACATTGATAGTATTACATTAGAGAATTTCCAGCAGATGTGCAGAGGGAGAAATAAAGTTCATGACTGCTACTTGGGGTAAATAAGAAATACTCCAATAACACACACACACACACAAAAAAAAAATCCAACAAAATCTCATATGAAACAGAATATGTCCTTCTAAGCAAAGAATACAGTAGTATTCATAGGAAACAGTAGTTTCCTTCTGTTGTCTATTCTTTATTTTTCTGTGTTTTACCTGCTCAGTTGATCATTATCTTCTATGTGCACATTTCATAAATTAACAGAAACATCACCAAGTTAACTTTCCTCCATAACAAAAGCAAGAAAATGTCTTGTTTCAGTATCACACTAAACCAAGAGATCATTAATCTTTTATGGGGGGGGAGGGTCAATATTTCTTGTTGATTAAATTAGATGTAGACTTTGTAATGTGTAACTTGAAGATATGTAATTTATGATTAAACAGTGTGTAAATGTTGTAATATAAACTGTGGTAAATGTATAATTTCATTGGTGAAGGATTCTACTGGATGTTGAGAAAGCTTCTCTTCATGTGCCCAGCAGGTTAAGTAGCGTTTTGAGAATATATATTGTTCCCATTGTGAAACAGTTTAAATTGTATTTGAGTTGGTGTATAGAATAACCTCTTAACTTTTAACTAATAGAGTTTAATTAGTGAATTTTCAAATTAATTAGAACTATTTTTTCCTCCTTTGTGTGTGTTAGTGTTCCAAGTGATTTGGAGCATATTGGTTTTCCAGGTGCACATGAATATTTGAAAGTTTATTGAAATATGATTAAGTGTATGTGTTGATATTGTTGTTGCTATTGCTATTGTTGATGAAGAATCTAAACCTGGGGAAGATAAAGAAACCCAGAATGACAAAATCAGTGCTTCCAGTAGATTTTAGAACATTTTTTTTTCTTTCAAAAATTGCAGATTGTGTGAGAATTTTTTTTCTTGTATTTCAAATACTTCCACATTTTCCTCTCTATTTACTTTAGTTGCGATCTATACATGCTCAAATTTTAAAGTAGATAAAAAGAGAAGCTGAAAAATTATTAAAATTTTATTGTTAATCCTAATGATTACTATCTTGTTAATGAAAAACAGAAATCAAAGTTGTATAACTTGGGAAATTTTTCTGATAGTGCAAAGTATGGATTTACTAGGAAGGCTCTTAAAAGCTCATGTCTAAAAAGGTGTAAAGTTTTGATACCTTTCCTAGAAATATAGGAATGAACAAATATGCTTTTATTACCCTTTCTAACTCTGATTTTGTAATCAGACTTAGATTGTGTTTAGAGTATTAAACAACTGGGCACCCTCTTCTGGGTTTGTACCAGAGAGGAATTGAATGGAAGCAGGCTGGAAATAGCCAAAGAGGCAAGGGGTGTGAGCCCAGTTATTCTCCCCTATGCATTCTCTTTCTAAGCTTCCACTAAGTCTGGCCTTGGAGAACTGTAACTTCTGGGGCTTCAGATTTGATGAGATCTTTCTCATCACCTTACAATTTTTTTCTTTGGATGGATAGAGCTGTAAGTTGACAAAGCTCACAGGTGGCTCTTCTGATATGCAAAATATCTAGTTATAAAACTGCAAAATGTCTTACTTTACTATCAATCAAGAAATGTTTCCCTCAGAAAAAGAAAGATCCAATTTGGTTTAAAATTAGAATTTCAATTTGAATGATTTGATACTGTAATAAATGTTCAGCCATATTGGTTATTCTGTTTTGTGGCCATATTCACCTACATTTTGATCATTAATTTTCTAGTTATAGCATTAATATACCACATTTGTAAGTATGCTGTCACTGTATCTCATATGCTAAATATAGACACATTAATTTCTTGAACAAGTTTTACTAATATTGTGTCAGTGTATTAAAACTAGCTTTTACATATAATACCAACCATGTAATAAACTTAGAGAGTACATTTTGCATAGTCTCATTTTATAATTTAACATTTTACTTTTAATCATGTAAATTTGATTAGAAAAATTATTATAAAATGATTAGTGATATTGTGTAATGGTGACAGTTATGAAGAGCATCTGCCTTCCCAAACTCATATTTGTCACACACTTTCATTAAAATGGGGAAAATGGACTAAAAAGAAATTGCAGATTGGGCAGTCCTTAAAATGTAATCACATCGCACTCAAAAACACCTTTTCAGTCTTGGGTAAATTTAGAAATTCAGTGGGTTTTACTCACAAACATTTTAACATTATTTTTTTTTGTCTGTATTAAGGCTGAAATGTGCATATATTTCCTAAATACACTTGTAAAAATCTACATGTTTAGGTTTTTATTTATTTATTCTCTTCGTTTTGTTTTCCACTGTGATTATAATTTCTTGTTTTTCATCTTTCATATTTTTTGCCAACCAAATTTATAGTTATGTTAAGGTAAATTTTTCTCACAATTATTAGATATAATTTTGGCTATTTTCAACTAGCTCAATTTGCCTAGAAAACATGGAAGCAAGAGAAAATGAGCTATATTTAGATACGAACCATTTATATTATGTGCCAATTGCCACACTGGAGAAATTTCATGCAGAGGCCTTAAAGTATTAATTCACACTAGATTTCTTATACTAACCATTCTTCTGCTTTTCATAGATATGATTTTTAAAATCAGTGAAAGTTGACAACAGCAGGAGTAGAAATGAAAAGGCTGCTCAAAAAAAATGTGTGTGCACAAATGAAAAAAATGAAGGCAATTGTGTAGTGATTGTATGTGATGCTTTTAGGAATAAAATGTGTAAAATTTATGCTGTCCCTACTTAAAATATTTGGAATTTTATGAAATATGTATTTATGTTTGTGTTTTTGGAAGATTCCTCCTCTATGACATCATACAGTATCTGAAAGTGAACAGTATCTCAAGGCAGCTCTAAACATGCTTTGGACATGAGATGGTTGGATATTCTATGGCCCAGGATGGCAGTATGTAGTCCAGCGGCAAATGTGTATTAATGTTCTATTTCAGGTTCTGTATTGCATGTTTTCTTATTCATTAATATAGATAATAATAAAATAATTATGAGAAATAAGAATGCATTTTATTGTGTATGTTCATTAACCAAAAAGCAAAGGTTTTATTTTATGTTAAATTGGTTTTTAAATTTATATAGAGCAAAATACAATTTTTGCTGGTAAAGTTCTGTGAGATTTATTACTTTCTTATTTACTCTTACAACTCATTTAATATAATTCTATTAATTAAACCTCATTTCAGTCACTTTTTAATGTTGAACAATAGTGTAATGTTTTCAAACATTTATTTTGCATCTTCCATGTAAAACGAAAGAGGTATTTATTTATTCCACATTAGTCCCATTTAATATAAAAGCCACCTAAGGACTTATCTGTGCAATCTGAGGAGATCCAGGTTATATAAGTTTCTGGAGAATGGTAGTAATATTTGTGAAACAAAATAACTTCACTCCTTGTTTCATTTTCCCTCTGGCTTAATGGAGAGAATCCTAGGATACTGAAATTTCTCAAACGGTACAATATCACTAAATATGCAATTATATATGGTATTTTTATTAACCCTGAAATTTGATTAAGGATTACAAAATGCATATTCTAGTGCTTTTTTTCTGTTCTCTAATAGATAGATTATACTAAAATCTTAATAGAAAATATTAAGCAAATGTGCTCCCCTTCTCATCTTTAAAAAATAAGAAAGTGAGTGCTGGAGTTGTAGCTCAGTGGTAGAACCCTTGCCTAGCATGTGTGGGGCACTGGGTTCAATCTTCAACATCACATAAAATAAACAAACAGATAGATAGATACATAGATAGATAAAATAGAGGTATTGTTTCCATCTATAACCAAAAATATTTTTAAAAATAACAAGTTACTGGTATTTCACTAATGTTCCCCAGATTAATTGTATAAGATTTTAGCAAATAAG